GGGGGGGAGTGCAGATAGAGGAGGGCAAAGAGGGCATAAATAGTGATGGATTAAATTAAATGTAAAAATAAATAAATAAAACTGGCTCAAAGAGAGGCAGACCTCTCTTTCCTTGGCTCTTTGTATTTGAGTAAGGATTTTGTAGTCAGAATAACTATTCTACATGGATGTTTCCCAAACTGTATATTCCAAACCATGTTGCTCTGCTAGTGTGACACATGTATTTTGAAAACCAGTGTGCTGTGCAAATGTCATCCGATGCAACAAATAGGTCTTACGGTAAAAACTGGGGTTAGAAACAGCTTCCATGGACTTCATCGGTGATATGATAAAAAAAAGAAAGATAGGAACAGTAGAACAATTTTATACCATTTACTAGTTAAAAATATGTACACCTACAACAAACATGGTACTTAACCTAGAAAAAGACCTGTGTCCAGTTTGCCGGAGGACGTGAGTTCAGAGGGTTACAGCCCGTGAGTTCTTATGAAGTGGTAGAGGGAGGATTATCTGAAATTTCAGGAGACATTGCCACAGGTGGGTGGGTTGTGATCCATAACGTATGCAGTGAGCTGGGATAGCTGGAAATGTTTGGTGTGTGTATGTTCTGTGGGCCGCATGTGTTTTGGTCCACCTGGGTGCAGTTTGCCCCATTGTTTCTCCGGTAGTAAACGGTGCAGAAACAAACACAAAATTTGTGTAACACTCAAAATGTTCCCCAATATACCAGTCAAGTTTGGAGCACATTTCCATGTTCTAAATGAGCACTATCACAGAACTGAGAATACTCTGTACTTGAGAAATAAAAATGGGAGAAGGTAGCTTCTATGTTCAAATAAGTTTAGGAAATAAGTTGATTAAGCAATGTTGAATTTTTTTCTAGTGAAAAATTTCAGAAACTTTATATGCTAATGCAAATGCTGAAACTTCAAGAAGACAGTGGGTTTGCGATACTTTTCAAAATTATTTGACCTTGGAATCTCCTTTTTAAAAAATTTATTTTATTGTTGAGAGTACTAAAGATGTCCCCCCATTTTTAATCTGTGGTGCAAATAACATTAACATATCCTAAAAAAATAATATTCCATGTAGCACAGTTTGATAAATACTTCTCTTTAGTAATATTTCATATTTATTGTTATAAAATGTAAAACAGGGATTTTGTTCAGAGAACTATATTATGATCTAACTCAGTTTTATGTATATTTTTAAAAATCTGAAATAAATTTTTAAAAATACCATTAATGTGTCTAACATTGCTGGCTGCATTTCTTCTGGCTCATAGAGAACTGAACTATAACTGACAATTAAAATGCCTCCTTGGAGTTAATAAAACTGTCATCTTTTCAGCATAATTAACTATACAGCCAAAACTTTATAAATCTACAAGAAAGTAAACGAGATTTTAAATGCATATGCTTCTCTGGGATTTCAGGGTGATCATGTTTATAAATAAAATCCTTTTTGTGAAATCTAAAAGAAAGGGGGTTCTGTTTTAAATTACTAATTTTACCTATTATATCATTTTATACACACACAGGCACACACACACACAGAGGGGTAGGCAAAGGTAGGTTTATCATTGTGAGAACTTGAAAGAATTTACTGTTGTACTATTATATATTATTTATTTTTGTTTGTCTTGTTTACTTATTTATATTATTTGTCTCCTTCTTGAGCATTTACAAGATTGTATCTAAGTGCACTAGGCCATTGTGATATTCTTTTGAGTTAGTAAAGCTATTGTAACAATCATAGCCTGCATAGCCATACAAGTAACTACAAACCTACTTCTGCCCTCCCCTTTATAGTATACCTATTAATACATTTTACAAAATAAGGTTGATTTTGCTTTCATCAACATAGGGAAGAGCATTCCAAGCAGAGGTAACAGAAAAACTCATGGAAAAATCTCTAGTGTGAATGCATGTAGCTAGCATACAAGTTGACTGCAATGAAGAAGAGTGAGAAGTGACTGGCAAGGAGAAAAGGGGGAGCCAGGCACACCGGTAGAATCAAAGGTGTTTTATAAAAGATTGCATGTAGGGATTTTGGAGAGAGATGGAAAAGTCAAGGATATTCTGAATTTTAAGCCTAACCAAATGGGATGATGATGCCACCCGGAGAAGGAGGAGGACAAAGTCAAGAGTTGGCTCGGGGAGATTATACAGAGTTGACTATCTGTTACTTAAACACTTCAATAGATTTCTTCCCGGTTGCTTACTTATTAGGTAATTCACTACTCACATGAGTCCAAAATCAGGGAAAACAAGGGTTTTCATGGGTTTTCTGCTTACAAGTAGCTCCATTCAAAAGCTTAAAAGTAAAGATAATTAATGCTAGTTGCTGTGACAGGTAAACACCAATATTTCAGCAGCTTAATAGTAACATTAATTGCTTGTTCATATCACAGTTCCATTAGTGGGTGGCTTAGAGTGTGGAGGGATTTGGGAGTGTGAGTTGTTCAGAGACCCAGGCTCCTTCCATGATATGGTTCTGTCATCTAGCACAGAGGCTGCAAAGACATTCTGCAGCCAGCAGGGAGAATGTGTAGAATCATGAGGAGAGAACAGAATGCCCGTCACTTATTTCAACCCATTAGCTAGACTTCAGTCATACGGCCCCACCCAGTTCCAGGAATGGATGGAAGATGTTAACTTAGCTCAGTGGTCAGGAATAATATTTCACATTGTCTTTGTCACAAAGAAGGGGAAGCCCCCCCTAAATAATGGAGGACTAAAAATTAACCCGGAGATAGTTTTCTCTTACTGTCCCTGATATCAGTAGCCACAAACAATACAGAACTAAAACCAAAAACAGTCATAGCAAGAGAGAGACACTATGTAAAACTTCGTAACCAGAAGTACAATTAATTTGAAAAATTACTTTTCCACAATCTTTCCAACTTAGCTTAAACAAAGCGTTTAGAAACTCTGATAAATACCTAGCATGCACTCATCTTGGTTTGAATAAGTAAAGATGCCAAGTTATGTGCGGATTTAATTTACAAAGCCTTCAGGTATGGAGGTAGAATGGCTGCCTTAAAATTTTTCCAATTTTTCTATAACCTCTCTCTCTCTCTCTCTCTCTCTCTCTCTCTCTCTCTCTCTCTCTCTCTCCCTTTCTTCCTTTTTCTTTTTTTACCTGCACTTTCTCACATAGCTGGTGGTCATTTGCATGTCTTCTTTGGAGGAGTATCTGTATTCAAGTCCTCTGTTCATTTATAAATTGGTTTATTTGTGTGTGTGTTTGCTATTAAGTTGTAAGAGACTCTTATATATTCTGTATATTAACCTCTGATGAGATACATGGTTTGTAAATATTTTCTCCCATTCTGTAGGCTGCCTTTTCACTAGGTTGATTGTTTCCTAGGAAGAAGCTTTTTAGGTTGATATAATTCCCTTTGTTTATTGTTGCTTTTGTTGCCTCTGATTTTGGTGTAAAATCCAAGTCATTGCCAAAATCATTGTGAAGAAATTGTTGCCAAATGGGTGTAAAGTTTTAGTTATGAAAAATGAGTTAGTCCTAGAGACCTGCTGTACAACATGGTGCCTATAGTTAACACGGTATTGTGCCTGTAATAGTTATTGCCACAAAACAAGTGAAAAAGAATACAAGGAAATTTTTGGAGGTGATGAATATGCTTACTACCTTGATTGTGATGATGGTACCATGAATATATGCACATGTACAAACTCTTTAAAATGTATACAATATATATGTGCAAATTTTGTGTATCAATTATACTCAGTAAAGCTTTGAAAATGGAGTGTTGTCTAGTTATATAAACTTTCTAGGTTTAGAGTTAATATAGTTTACATTAATGCTCTATGGCTTTTAACTATTGTGAATGAAAATAAAACTTTTCCAGCTATAATAAAAGAAACTTTATGATGGAAACATATCAGATATTAGTGCATAAGAAATATACCCCTTCTTGAACCTTTGATAAATTGTAGCTACCTTTACAGTTCTTCTATTCATAGCACAGTCTCCTGTACTCTCAAATATTCTGTGTTTCTGGCATTTTAAATTGAAACATTACTGCCTGAGTTTTAATTCAAAGAAATTTAGAGGGACAATAAATTCAATACCCTGGTCACAAAGCAGCGTATCTATTTCAGAAACACACACACACACACACACACACACACACGTCTCTCTCTTTTAAGCAGGAATAAACCTGGGTGCCTCAAGGTGGCTTGTTCTGATATCAAAGAATGTCCTCTAGGGACCCCGTTGTTTTCCTTGAAACTTAAAAAGGGAAATTTATTCTCTCACATCCTGCCGGCTTCCCGATCCCACAGCTTCTGCATCTGACTCAGAGCTGCCTGCAGTTTGTATCCCTGAACATCACCGGCATCTGCCTTCCACGGGACTTGGATTGGTCAAACGAAAGCAGAGGAGGAGCCACCCTGAACATTTTTTTTTCCCTCCACACACCATAAAATCAGCAGCAGCTACTAACAGAGCAATGCTGGTGGGAGCCTCTGAGAGGCAGCTGATGTGGGCATGTGCACACACACACTGTCTCCCAATGGCACCGCAGCTCCCAGGAGAATCATTCTGAAAAGACCTGAATGCCTAGGACTATAGTTAAACTGAAAGTGAGAAGCAAAAAACAAACAAAAAAAAAACAAAAAGCAAACAGCAGACTCTTTTGACTGAGAATAAGCACTTTGAAGCCAAAGATTTTAAAGGGACAGGGATAGGGATGAGAGCAGTACCTGAAAGAGACGAAAACTTCCATTTCCAGCTGTGGAGCATGTGACAGCTATTCATAACGGGCATGCCACTTTCAGCCTCATAAAGGACAGAAAAAGACCTGCAGAAAATCCCTGAGGCCGCCTGACCCAGGAGCTGAAGCAGTTGAGAGGGGATTTGAATCCACTGACTCAGGATGAATTCCACTCACCACCACAGAATGCATACCTCTCTCCACTTCCGGAACCTCAGCACCCACCGGCTGCACAGCAACGCCAGCGAGCCCCCGGGGAAAAACGACTCCGATGGAGGGTGCTACCAGCAACTTTTCGTCTCTCCTGAGGTGTTTGTGACTCTGGGCGCCATCAGCTTGTTGGAGAATATCCTGGTGATTGTGGCCATAGCCAAGAACAAGAACCTGCATTCCCCCATGTACTTTTTCATCTGCAGCCTGGCCGTGGCTGATATGCTGGTGAGC